TAGCCACTGTCCACATGTGACTGTTGAGCACTTGAAAATTGAGTTGCACTAAAGTAACTAAGAGATTGGATTTTTAATTTTATTCTGTTTTAATTAGTTTACATTTAAATGGCACATGTGGCTAGTAGCTACAGTATTACTGCAGCTTTAGAGCACTGAGGCCTAATCTAAAGAGAACCTTACTGATGTATAATACAAGTCGGGCTTTTGCCATAGCATTGACTCCCAACTCCAGTCTTGTGCACCAACTCTAAATTCCTGACCTTCAATTTTTGTCTTTAGCCTTTCTGTCTTTTTATCATTATTGTAGCAAAGGTTTTATTAGCTCAGCCCTGGCCAGTTTCTCAGTGGTTAGAGCATCAGCCCTGGACCGCAGAGTTGTGGATTCGATTCCCAATCAAGGGCACATACCTGGATTATAGGTTTGATCCCAGGCCCCAGTGGGGGCGTGTGTGGGAGGCTACCAATTGTGCAGGAGGCCACCAATCAATATGTCTCCTTCACATTGATGTTCCCTTTTCTCCCTCCCTCCTCTATTCATTCCCTTCCCTTTCTTCCTCCCTCCTTCCACTGCTGTAAAAGTCAATGGAAAAAATATCCTCAAGTGAGGATTAACAACAAAAAAAGTTATCCTATATAATAAAGAGCTAATATGCTAATTAGACCAAACAGTAGAATGACCATCCGGATGACCTTCCAGACAAAGCTGGGGCTGCGAGGGTCAGCCGGGGCTGTAAGGGTAGGCCGAGGCAGCCAGGAGTGTGAGGACTAAGCCTCTTGCATGAATTTTGTGCATCGGGCCTCTAGTGTGGATTATAGAAGACTTTAATGTTTTCACCAGGTTTGAGATGAACAGAAGAGATAATACCTCAGTCAGTAAATTTGCTTGTCAGTATCTCTAGTAACTTCAGAAAAAAAGATTGAGCTCTAAAACAAGATATAATATTGAATTTTATTTTATAAAAATCTACTCTTACTTAGCTGTCATCAATGTGAATCATTAGAAAAATGGGGGGAAGGGGGTTTGTTTTAAAAAGTTATTTAAACCTGATTCGGGGATCCAGATGATTTTTTTCCAGTTCCTATAACTCTAAAATTATAAGTTTTATCATCTTGGGCAGTGGTTTTCAAATTGTATTTCGATATTACATAGAAACATTGAGGTTCATCAGGTGGTATCCAAATGGGATTCTAGATTACCCCCACCTACTCAAAATCCTCAAGCAGGGACCAGAGTAGCTCTAATTTTGTTTTCTCTATTTGCTGCATTTCAGTTGCTAAAGGGTTCAATTGCTTAAAAAAAAAAAATCATGTTAGAACACTATGCAGTTAAGAATGCTTTTAAAAAATATAACCTTACTACCTAAAAATAACCAAAACAATTAAAGGTTCTGATTTGTTTGTTGTTTTTTGTTTATAATCTTTACCCAAAGACATTTTTCCATTGATTTTTAGAGAGAGTGGAAGGGAGGGGGAGAGACAGAGAGAAACTTTGATGTGTCTCTCACATCGATTGGTTGCCTCCCACATGCATACTGACTGCAACCTAGGTACATGCCCTTGACTGGAATTGAGCCTGCAACCGAGGTACATGCCCTTGACTGGAATTAAACCCTTCAGTCTACGTGCCAATGTTCTATCCACTGACCCAAACCATCTAGGGTTAAACTAAAGATTCTTTTAATGTGATTGATATAACACCTATGTTCCTCTAACATGCTTATTGCTTTAGTAAATTCATTTCTCTAACAGTCGACAACGACACACCAGTTACTCTGGGAGTATATCTTACCAAGAAGGAACAGAAGAAACTTCGAAGGCAAACAAGGAGGGAAGCACAGAAGGAGCTACAAGAGAAAGTCAGGCTGGGCCTGATGCCTCCTCCAGAACCCAAAGGTACATCTTTAAAAAGCAGGGATGAAAGGGTGGCAATGTTGATCTCTGCAATTCCAGAGGAACTTTAGCATCTCTCTGTATTCTGTTTCTGAGACTCAGTTATTGGCTCTTCTTTCTTTTCCAAAATTTCTGTCATCTTTCCTTATTTAAATAGAGCACTGTTATGTATAGGATCTTTCACTAAATGCTGTTATCAGAGTGAAATTACCAAAGAAATTAAGTTCCCAAAGTGAAAGAGAGTAAATGGGGGATAAATGGTGATGGAAGGAGACTTAACTAGACTTTGGATGATGATTGCACAAGACAGTGTGCAGATAATGTATTGTAGAATTGTACACTTGAAACCTATGTAATTTTAAAAAATATTTTATGGATTTCAGAGAAGAAGGGAGAGAGGGACAGTGAGACAGAAACATCAATGATGAGAGAGAATCATTGATCGGCTGCTTTCTACATGCCCCACACTGGGGATCGAGCCCACAACCTGGGCATTTGCCCTAACCAGAAATCAAACTGTGACCTTCTAGTTCATAGGACGCTTTACCACTGATCAACACTGACAAGGCAAAACCTATGTAATTTTATTACCAGTGTAACTAACTCCAGTAAATTCAATTAAAAAAAGAAAACAATAGCCCTGGCTGGGTAGCTCCGTTGGTAGAGTGTTGTCCTGATAAGCCAAGGTTTCGGGTTTGATTCCCTGTAAGTTTCTTTAAAAATAAAATAGTAATAAATAAAAATAATAAACAATTACATTTTAAAAAATTAAGTTCCTTATCTTTTATAAATTTAATGTATGTCAACTACGTAGATTAACTGTGTGAACATCCACAAATACTGAGTTAATTATATGGTCTTTTCAAGGTAAAAGTTCCTAGAAGAAGTTAGTTTTCAGCAGATTTGAAATATGTAAACAATATGAGTTGGTAGAGAAGAAAGGATAGGTTATCTCAGCTGGAGAAGCGATTTGGGAAATTGATTTCTGTCCTCTTTTCATTGCAGTGAGAATTTCTAATTTGATGCGAGTATTAGGAACAGAAGCTGTTCAAGACCCCACGAAGGTAGAAGCCCATGTCAGAGCTCAGATGGCAAAAAGACAGAAGTAAGTGCCATGGGAGTGGGTAGAAACCCAGGGCAAGTATTTTTCCCAAGCATTCTGGGGGATCCACATTTGAAGGGAGGGGAGAGTCCTCCGTTGCTCTCTCTTTCCCTCAGCCCTGCCTCTGATCTTCAATGCCTTTCTCACTTGTGGATGTCCTTCCTGTCACGACAGAGCGCATGAAGAGGCCAACGCTGCCCGAAAACTTACAGCAGAACAGAGAAAGGTCAAGAAAATTAAAAAGCTTAAAGAAGACATTTCTCAGGGGGTACACATATCTGTATATAGGTAGGTGTTCAAACTGGCAGTCTTTCCCAGAACATTTTCTAAGTCCTTGAGGCAGAATCACTGTAGTCCAAAAGCATACCTAACTAACATCAGCCCCAACTCTCCTTAAATGACCTAAGTGTAAAGAGGAGTTAGTAAATATTTTACAATGGTGAGAGTTAAGGGCTTACTCTTCTTTCTTTTTAAATATATTTTATAGCTTTTTTTTTTACAGAGAGAAAGAGAGAGAGGTAGAGAGTTAGAAACATCAATCAGCTGCCTCCTGCACACCCCCTACTGGGGATGTGCCCACAACCAAGGTACATGCCCTCGACCAGAATTGAACCTGGGACCCTTCAGTCCGCAGGCCGATGCTCTAGCCACTGAGCCAAACCGGTTTCGGCTAAAGGCTTACTCTTCTATGTCTAAGGCTTCTTAGTGAACCAGTAATAGTTCTGAAGAATGAATGAATGCGTATATTTGTTCAGGCCAAGATGTGAACTAAAGATCATCTATGATTTTTGAAGCATAAAATATCCTATTTCTCCAGGAAGTATTAAAAGTTTCTTCAGTAATTATATCCTGATGTATTGCAGTAACCTTTTACCGGTATTCCCACTCCAAAATGCACTTTATATAGTGTAAATATTTTTTAACTTTGTGTTGATTTAATGTTTTTATTCTCTTATGTTGAGTACCTGTGTGTCTTCTATTTTTTAAATGTAGTAATTAGTTCTTTATTATAACCTGTGTGTCTTCTATTTTTTAAATGTAGTAACTAGTTCTTTATTATAAAAGTGATACATTTATTATAAAAGTAGTGAATCTTTGTTAAGATTAGAAAAAAAATTCTAACAATACAGAAAGGCACTTAAGGGGAAGTCTCCTTGCTATTCTCTATCCCGTAGGACCACTCACTATAGCTCATTGATATTAACAGTTTTTCAGGTATCCTAGAAATTTTTTATGGATAGCATTGTAACTACATCCTAAGCATCTAGAGTAAATTTTGATTACCTGTTATTTGTTTTAAGGTGGAGTGCTAGACTTTGAAGAAGTGTGAGACAGTAGAAATATATCTAAACTCATCATCTCTACCTTTTAGGCATTAGTATATTTGCTTACTCCAAAGACCTTCGTTTTTAGACAAAAAATCATTTTGGATTCATCTTTTTTATTTGCCATTCCATTCAGGCAGCTACCGAAGCTAAAATGAAAGCCATAACTAAACTTTCCCTTCTCCAGAGTTCGAAATTTGAGCAACCCAGCCAAGAAGTTCAAGATTGAGGCCAATGCTGGGCAGCTGTACCTGACAGGGGTGGTGGTACTGCACAAGGATGTCAACGTGGTAGTAGTGGAAGGGGGTGAGTCTGAAAAAATTGAGGGAGATTGTCCCCAGGCAGCCCTATTCCTTGAAGTGATTAGCATGGTGGGAGAAAGGAGAAAAAGATACTATTTTAAAACCATACCTGGCTATGATATCCTGGGCTTCTGCTTCGTGTTTATTGGAGTAAAAGGACCTAAGATATGGTTCCTGGGATTGCTTCAGCTACCATATTAAAAATGTCAGCATTGAATGAGCTCAAAGGTTATTTTCTACCCCATCGCCTTCCACAATTCTGGCAAAATTCTCCTTTTCTGTTTCCAGGCCCCAAATCCCAGAAGAAATTTAAGCGTCTTATGCTGCATCGGATAAAGTGGGATGAACAGACATCCAACACAAAAGGAGATGGTGAATGGGGGTTAGAGGGAATTAAGTTGGAGGTGGGATGGTATTGTGTCCATTCATCAAGTCTCCTTCTGAAATTCTTGCTAATACTGGATAATGTTCAGGAATTTTAGAAAGGCCCATTTGGACTATGAATATGCTAGACACTCATACAGTATTTATGGCATGGTCATGTGCATGAGTGTTAGTTATTCTACCTGTCCATTAAGGCCTTTTTACCTCTTTCTACCAGTTTCCCTGTCATGTGTGCATTGTCTATATTACCCTTTTTTTTTTAATCCTCATGTGAGGATTTTTTTTGAAAAATATTTTGTTGATTTTAGAGAGGAAGGAAGAGGGAGAGAGAGATAGAAACATCAATGATGAGTCTACGGCCATACCACCCTGAACGCGCCTGATCTCGTCTGATCTCAGAAGCTAAGCAGGGTCGGGCCTGGTTAGTATTTGGATGGGAGAAACATCAATGATGAGAGAAAATCATCAATCGGCTGCCTCCTGCACGCCCCCTACTGGGGATCAAGCCCGCAACCCAGGTATGTGCCCCTGGCCAGAATCGAACCTGGGACCCTTCAGTCCACAGGCAGACGCTCTGTCCATTGAGCCAAACCAGCCAGGGCCTCACGTAAGGATTTATTATTGATTTTATAGAGAGGAAGAAACATCCATTGGTTGCTCCTGTTTGAGACTGAACCAACATTTAGGCATGTGCCCTGACCAGAAATCAAACCCACAACCTTTTGGTGTGTGGGACCATGCTCAACTGACTGAGCCACTCAGCCAGGGCTTTTTTTTTAATTTTTTTTTTTTTAAAGAGAGGGGGGAGAAAAGCGAGAGGGAGGAAGAGAGAGAAACATTGATTTGTTGTTCCATTTATTTATGCATTCATTGGTTGATTTTTGTATGTGCCCTGACCAGGGATCAAACCTGTAACCTTGAATGATGCTCTAACCTACTAAGCTGCCCAGCCAGGGCCTTATCTGTGTGTGTGTGTTTTTGTTTGTTTGTTTGTTTGTTTTTTGTGTGTGTCTGTTTTTAATTTGAGAGAGAAACATCAATGTGAAAGAAATATTCAATCAGTATTTCTCATCAGTTGCCTTTCTTACATGCCCTAACTAGGAATTGAACTTGGAACTTTTTGGTATATGGGACAATGCTCCAACCAACTGAGCCACCCAGCTATGGCTGTATTTATATATATATATGTATGTATGTATGTATTTTATTGATTTTATACAGAGAGGAAGGGAGAGGGATAGAGAGTTAGAAACATCGATCAGCTGCCTCCTACACACCCGCTACTGGGGATGTGCCCACAACCAAGGTACATGCCCACAACCAAGGTACATGCCCTTGACTGGAATCGAACCTAGGACTTTTCAATCCGCAGGCTGATGCTCTATCCACTGAGCAAACCAGTTTTGGCATGTATTATTTTTTGATAAAAAAAATTTTAAGGGGTTGAAGGTAAAAAAACACACACAAAATTTTCAGATTAAATTAACTTCCTGCTTTAAGAAAATGTACTTTTCATTCATTTACTCAATTTTATCTTATTAAGTATATTATCAAATATTTGAAATCCTCCAGGCCACCATTCTTCCATCAGTATTCAGTATTTTCTTTGAAAACTTCTGTTGGCATTTAACATATACTGGGAGCCTTATTTTTATTTTTTTTTTTTACTTAATTTTACCTAATATTTTGGTCTTAAAGTATTTTTTAACCTTACAAACATTTTTTAAAAATATTTTTTTATTGGTTTTACAGAAGGAGTGGGAGAGAGAGAGAGAAACATCAATAATGAGAGCCAAAGCCTGTTTGGCTCAGTGGATAGAGCGTTGGCCTGCAGACTGAAAGGTCCCAGGTTCGATTCCAGTCAAGGGCATGTTCCTTGGTTGCGGGCACATCCCCAGTGAGGGGGTGTGCGGGAGGCAGCTGGTCGATGTTTCTCATCGATGTTTCTAGTTCTCTATCTCTCTCTCTTTCTCTCTATAAAAAAAAGAAAAAAAGAAAAAAAAGAAAGATCAATAATGAGAGAAAATCATGGTTCTGCTGCCTCCTACACAGCCCCTATTGGGGACTGAGCCTGCAACCTGGCATGTCCCTGACTGGGAATTGAACCATGACCTGCTGATTCATAGGTCGATTCTCAATCACTGAGCCATGGTGGTGGGGCACAAAGTATATTTTTTACTATAATTTACCTATATTTTGTTTTGTGTTCCTATTTTCATTTGATATATCTGCCCTCCTCCTCCATTAGATTAAAACCACCTTGAGAATGGACTCTTATGTTGGCATATGAAGCCTGGCTCTCAAAGTGCTCATATCAAGTTTTTATTTTTAATGGTTTTATTTATCTACTTATTCCCAGTATTTGGCACAACTCTTGACACATAGTAGGTGCTCAATAAATGTTTGTTGAATTAACTAATTTTCCTGCCTATTTAAAGCTTTCAGTCTAATTTGGGGTAAAGAGAAACAGAAGATATTTTATCTCAACTTATGATTGACAACATTTAAAATAATTTGGGTAGATTTGAACATTGTGTAGAGCCTAAATTTTGGTCTCTAGTTTATATCTAGAGAAAGATTTAGCTATATTGTCTTTTCCAGATGATGAGGAATCCGATGAGGAAGCTGTGAAGAAAACCAACAAATGTGTACTAGTCTGGGAGGTAGGTGATTCCTCATTAAACACTGAAGTTTATACTGGTTGTTTATACTATTCAAATGAAGTGATGGACTGGTAAAACTAAACAATGACTAATCCCTTAAGCCTTAAGTAATTTGTGGTTTCTTGCTTTTAGGAGGGGTGAGGGAGAGGGAATTTATTATTAAATGTTTGGCAGCAAATTCTTCCTCATTAGATTTCAGTTAAATTAAAGAGCATGTTAGTATCTGTCATCTGGAAAAAGAATATGGAAAACTGGTGGCAAGATCACAAATTCTTGATTGAGCTATTTCATAGTCATAGATGAGGCCTGTAAAGAGGGAAATTGTTGGATTTTTCTTTGTCTGGATATAGTAAGAGAAATACTAAACTTAATATAAAGTTGGGAATCTGGGCAGTACTACTTACTAACTGTGCAAATGGGCGAGGCATGTTTAACATCCAGTACTGTTGTTTTGTCTATAAAATGTAAATATAATTTTCCCTCCCTTTTATCAGGTTTTTTTTTTTTTTTTTTTGGTAAACTAATTAGATTATTGTGTAATTGTACTTTGTACAGTGTAATGAAATCACTCTTTGGAACTTTCTTATGATTATATAGTTTTTTCATTCCTGAAATCTTAATGAAGTAGTATTCTGAAGAATGAATGAATGAATGAATGAATATGCTTGTTCAGACCAATTTGTGAAGTAAGCATTGTTCTCCCTTTTTGAAGCATAAAATACCCGATTTCTCTAGGAAACATTAAAAGTTTTTTTTCTCAGTAGCTATCTGTGTCCTGATATAGTACAATAATTCTTTTATTCCCACTCCAGCATACACTTTATACATTGTAAATATTTTTACCTTTGCGATTATTGTTTTCATTTTGTTCTTCTGTATTGAGTTCATGTGTACCTTCTATTTTTAATTTAATTTTTATTTTTTAATATATTTTTATTGATTTCAAAGAAGAAGGGAGAGGGAGAGAAAGCTGGAAACATCAACCATTAGAGAGAATCATTGATTGGCTGCCTCCTGCATGCCCCACAATGGGGATCAAGCCTGCAATCTGGCATGTGCCCTTGACTGGAATTAAACTTGGGACCCTTCTTTCTGCAGGCCAACACTCTATCCACTGAGCAATAGGGCAATTTTTAAAATGCTCATGTTTAGTAACTAGTTCATTATAAAAGTAATGTTCTATAAAAGCAGTGAATGCTTACTAAAATAAATTCTAACAACAAAGAAAAGCATTTACTGAAATAGTTCTCTTTTGATTCCATGATTCTTTAAGACCACTCTTTTATAGGCAATTGTTTTTTTATGTATACCTCTTTCTTGTTTTTTGTTTTTGTCTCATAAGTCCCCACCTGCATATTTAATATTCCAGCCTCTTCATCTCTTCCATTTATCTAATGTCCTCCGGAATTATATCTCAGGTTCAAAAACAAGCCAATTTCTGCTCTAGCCTCCTTATTGGAGTCTGAAGCCTGGAAGCCTCTTGAGGTAGCACTTTATGACTGTTGTAGCTGCTGGTACCTTTTTTGAGAAGGCGCTTCCACCTAGTATCTTTTTCTATTGCAGTTCTGGAGGTCGTCCCCCTGGCTCCCATTTCCCTCTCCCCCTTGTCCCTGTATGCTTCGTCACTGTGCCCCAAAGCCTCCTTGTACACAGGGTCTCACTAAGTCTTTTTTTTTTTTTTTTTTTTTTTAATATATATTTTATTGATTTTGTACAGAGAAGAAGGGAGAGAGATAGAGAGTTAGAAACATCAATGAGAGAGAGTCATCGATCAGCTGCCTCTTGCACACCCCCAACTGGGGATATGCCCGCAACCAAGGTACATGCCCTTGACCGGAATCGAACCCGGGACCCTTCAGTCCCCAAGCCGACGCTCTATCCATTGAACCAAACCAGTCTTGGCCTCACTAAGTCTTGTGAAGAGTCCTTTCTTTTTTTTTCTTTTTCTTTTTTTATAAATATATTTTATTGATTTTGTAGAGAGGAAGGGAAAGAGAGAGAGAGTTAAAACATCGATGAGAGAGAGTCATCTATCAGCTGCCTCTTGCACACCCCCCACTGGGGATATGCCCGCAACCAAGGTACATGCCCTTGACCGGAATCGAACCCGGGACCCCTCAGTCCCCAAGCCGACGCTCTATCCATTGAGCCAAACCGGTCCCGGCTGAAGAGTCCTTTCAACCTCTGGTTCTCTAACACCTTTCTCCTGAAAAGACCAAATTTAGTCTTTGAGGCCTGGTGGGAGATAAGTTCATCCCATCTCACCATCCATAGTCCTTCCAGTCTTGCTCTTCCACCCAGGCACCAGAGCACAGAACTCCTCTTTTTTCACTCAGTAAAAAAAGACCAACAAACCCTTATGCGTAAATTCATGAAAACTCATGCAACATCCAAGGAGGTGGAGATTAGAATTCCTTTTACCATAAAATCATATTCAGCTAAGCACATTGCTACACAAGTGTTATTAGGTTTTATAAAAGAATATCTGATTTAAACTAGAAATTGCAGTGTCATTCCATATTTTGTCTCTTTCTCAGGGTACAGCCAAAGACCGGAGCTTTGGGGATATGAAGTTCAAACAGTGCCCTACAGAGAACATGGCCCGGGAGCATTTCAAAAAGCATGGGGCTGAACACTACTGGGACCTTGCGCTAAGTGAATCTGTGTTGGAGTCTGCTGACTGAGACTACTGCAAGCCCTTGCCTCCACCCTCTTGCCTATGTCTCTTCAGTCCTCTCCCTTATTTTACTTCCCAGCCCAGCCCACTTGTGTGTGTGTGGTCGCAGAACTGTGCCCAGCTGACATCGGGACAAAGGGAGAACACATTGCTCTCTTCCCTGTCGGCCTGGTGCTGCCCTTTACTGCCCTTATGTGTATATGATTAAAGAGTTATTTTTAAAATTTGTATGATTTTTTTCATACACTCATAGGTATTGATTGGAGTTTGGTTCTTCAGGTGATCTTTTCTCCAGACTCCTCGCAATTGCTTCGAAAAAAGAAAATTTTATCCTTGAAGCTTTAGGTTGTGGATTCGATTTCTGGTCAGAGATATATCTCCACAACAGTTCTGTCTAGAACCTCACTTCCTGGGCAACCTCATGCATCTCATCATTTTAAAGATCGTCTATATATTGAAAAATTTAAAATTGATATTTTCTACCTAGACCTCTCATGAATTTCATACTTACATATTTAATGTCATTTATGTGTCTGATACCTCAAACTCAAGATGTCCATACCTGAAATCCTGATTCCTACTCATTTTTCATATGACTGCTCCTTTCCCTTTTTCCTCCCCTGGTTCATGTGAGAAAATGGCCACTTCATTCTTCTAGTTCATACATATTTTCTCTAAGTTCATTCAGTTCTTTATTGGTTGTCTGGGCCCTATAGCTGCCCTTCAGCTTAGGTCTTCCTGAGCTGCACACAAAGACCTATCACCTATTGGGACCAAGAAGGTAACACAGAGGTGGTGGTCCTTGTCCCAGTATACACACCCCACCCTTTGGGGCTTATGTTCTAAGACTTCTAGGAGTACAAACCTACATCTTCAAGATTTATAGCTCATTATTCTCCCCTTGACTAGCATGAACTTCAAACTCATTTGCAGTGTTCTTAGATTCCAGCATTTGCCCTGAAAGCTCTTCTGTTTTTGTTTCTTTCTAGTGGGCCTATGACTGCCCCCCCCCCTTCCCCCCTTTTTCCCTCCAGGGCCTGTGGCTTCTCCTCCATCATTTCCTTATCTGGATGATTCCAACAGCCTCCTTAACTAAATGTTTATGAAGTCTTGTTTTTTTAATCCTCACCCAAGGAGTGCAAATATTTTTTCCATTGATTCTTAGAGGAAGGGAAGATTCAGTCGGGATGAAGAGAGAAAGAAACATCATTGTGAGAGAAATACATTGATTGGTTGCCTCACCCATTTGCCCCCACTGAGGGCAGGGATCAGGGAACAAACCTGCAACTCAAGCACTTGCCCTTGACCTGGGATTGAACCCATGAGCATCTGTTGCACAGGCAGACACTCTAACCATTGAGCCATGCTGACCAGGGCTCTGAAATCTATTTTCTTTTTCTTCTGAAGTCTATTTTCAACAGCAACCAATGTGAATTTTTTTTTTTTTTTTTTTTTTTTTTTTTTGGAGGGTGGGAGGGGGATAGATAGAGAAACATCGACATGAGAGAGACACATCAATTGGTTGCCTCCTGCACTTGCTCCATCCAGGGCCCAGACCAGGGAGGAGCTTGCAACTGAGGTACATGCCCTTGACTGGAATTGAACCCAGGATCCTTCAGTGGCAGGCTGCTCTATCCACTGAGCCAAACCGGCTAGGGCCCAATGTGGTCTTGTAAAAATATTTCCCATGTAATTTTTCTGCTTAAAGCTCTGCATACAAGGGCTCCCATCTCAGAGTTAAAAGCCAAAATCCTTACAGTGACCTCTTAGACCTCTACCACTTATCCCTCTCCTACCCTTTTCTAGCCACACTGGCCTTCTTGTTCTTTCTCTAATATGTCAAGACATTCCTATTTTAGTGCCTCTGCACTTGCTGTTCTTTCTGCCCTCTCCCCATATCTGCTTTGTTATCTTGTTCTCAATGTTCATATTTACAAGGAGAAAATTATGAAGTAACCTAAATTAAACTCCAGGAGGCCAGAGGATGGAAGAGACAATCAGAGGTTAAGCAGTTAACATCAGTAGTGCAAAACTAACAAAAGACTGCTTGCACTTATTGTATTTGGGACTTATTAACTTCCAGGTGACTATTTCCAGATTATCTAAAAAGAGAGAACAGCTAGTTTGACCAATTTCTTACCTTCCCCTCCCCATTTTTGAACCTTAGGAGTGTCTGCTTCTTGTTTACACATGAGTTTTACAGATTCTTATGGACTGCTGCTCCTATCCCAGCTTCACCTTCCATACATATCCTTCTTAAATAACGTAAACTATTTAAGAAGGATATGTATCCTACTCCCCCTACTTCCTGTACTGTATAATGCTTGCATACCTGGCCAGTGTGGGTCAGTTGATTGGAGTGTTGTGAAAGGTTTTGGATTTGATTTCCAGTCACGGTACATACCTAGGTTGCAGGTTTCATGCCTGGTCGGGTGCCTATGGGAAGGCAACTGATTGATGTTTCTCTCACATCGATGCTTTTCTCTTTCTCCCTCTCTCTCTAAAATTAATAAGCATGTCCTCAGGTAAGGATAAAAAAAAAAAATGCTTGCAAAACCCAAGGACATTAGACATGTTTTTCTTACATGGTGGTGGTGGTTAGGCTCACACCCCAAGAATTAGTCTTCCTTTTTGTAGCAATGGCCTAATCAACCTTTTATTTTAAAGACTTACAGTTGTGAAAGTTAAAATATTTAACAAGAGCAAGGGTCACTTCCTTCCTGACTCACCAAACCACCATTCCTATGCCCTACCTACAGGATCACCCATTCTATACCCTCTGCCTCTCTTTACCTGCTTCATACTTCTTAGAACGCCTTACTACCCCCTGATACATATTTGCTTGTGGTATCCTGACATTAAGCCCCAGAGGGAAGGGATTTTTGTCTGTTTTGCTGTTACTCTCTAACATCTAGAATTGTTCATTCCACATGTTCAACAACTTTTTGTTGAATTAATGAATACTAGATATCAGTTTGACAAAATAGGTTCCCTGCATCAAGAAACCTAAGTCTTCTAGGGAGACATAAAATAATTAAAATATAATAATTACATTTGTTCAGTAGGACACAGAAGCCTCCAAATCTGCTCAGAGGACTTACATGGCAGATGAGATAGAATGGTTAATCTAGGTGGTGCTAATCAATGTACTAGTTATCCAAGGCTCCTGTAAATTATAATGTACTATGCAATTGTGAGGTTGTCTTAACTGACCAAGGTGAGATAAGTTAACCTTTCCTGGTCTTGAAAATTTTACAGAGAGCCTGGCCCACAAGGCTCAATGGTTGAGCATAGATCTATATAACCAGAAGGTCACAGCTCGCCCTGACTAGTTTGGCTCAGTGGATAGAGTGTTGGCCTGCAGACTGAAGGGTCCCAGCTTCAATTCCAGTCAAGGGCATGTACCTTGGTTGCGGGCACATCCCTAATAGGGAGTGTGCAGGAGGCAACTGAATCGATATTTCTCTCCCATCGATGTTTCTAACTTCCTATCCCTCTCTTCCCTTCCTCTCTGTAAAAAAATCAAAATATATATATATTTTTAAAAAGATCACAGCTCATTCCTGGTGAACATGCCTGGGTTGCCAACTCTATCCCCACTGTGGGACATGCAGGAAGGAGCCGATCATGATTCTCTTTCATCATTGATGTTTTTTACTCTCTCCTCTCTGAAATCAAAATCACCAGAGGGTGATTTTTCAGAGAGGGGGAAGATAGAGGGAAAGTCAAATATCATGTCAGTTGGTTGCCTCCTGTAGGGACCGTGACCAGGACCCCTGTGGGGGATGGGCCTGCAACCAAGGTCCATGCCCTTGACACCAATGCAACAGGGGACCCTCTATCCACTGAGCCAAACGGGCTAGGGCTGAAATCAATTTAAAAAAAATTTTTTACCGGGAAATTTTCATTTACTTCATTTATTTCCTCTTCCTATAATTCATATAGTCAAATGGCTATGAAGGTATGGTAAAAGATTGCTTGGTCTGGGAGTCTGCCTATAGAATGGCTCGCTGGAGCTGGCGCATGCGCATCATTAAGGCACTGCAAGATGGCTGCCAGCCACTTTGTGGAGCGTCAGTTCCCTGAGGAGTTAGTGCCCCCGCGGCTGCAGCCGCCAGAAAGTAACAGTGGCCGCCAAGTGGTGGGCGTTTCCGGCCCTGTTTTGTGAGCCGGGTAGCCTCGAGAGAGCGAGATCTCACCAGGGAGGAAAAGGCAGGGCGAGGCGGGGCGGGGAAGCCCCCTCCCCCAACCTCCCGGTTAGACCAACTCGCTACTCCCCTCCCCGTTTTATCCTCCCAGCCCGCTACACGCCGGGGGGCTGCGCACGCGCAGAAGTAATAGACGCGCCTCCGCGGCGCTACGGTCCTGCGGGCTCCTGCGCGCGCTTCCCGTGCTCCCGCCTTGATTGGTCAGATTGCCCCGCCATCACGGCCTCCCTCTGCTTTCTAGGCTGAGAAGGAAGCGAGGGGGCGGGACCAAGCGGGCGCGTGCGCGATACTGTTGCCGTCCCTTGGCTATTGCGTTGCAAAAAAAAAAAAAAAAAAAAATCCTGACTAGCCATCCTGGGGCCTTTTCTGTCCTAGAGGACCTAAAGGAGAAAGATTTCTGCTACCGAAGGGGCAGTCGGGTAGTATTACATTCCAGATATCCACGCCCGCCCTCGTAGGAGTGAGGGACGGGAGTGGGGAAGGGCCTTGGCGCAGGGAGCCGGAGTGTAACACCATTGATTGGGGCGGGAGGGGGGGGGCAGGCGTTTGGAAAGGCTTTGCAGGACCTGTTTGTCTGCGTAATCCTCCCTTGGTGACTGACTGGTGTACACACAAGCCCTTGAGCAATTCTGATAAACCTCAAAACCCACAGCCCCTCCGTGAAGCGTGTCGGAGCCACCGGCGTGCCCACCACCAGCAGCAGCTGGGCCGCCCGTCCTGCCTCCCGAGGAGCCGGGCGCGTGCACCCTCCCCTCCCCCTGCGCCCTCCCCGCCCGCGGCTCCACGCACTCTCCGTGATTGTTTTGCTCGCTCCCGCCGCCGCCGCCGCCGCCGCCGCCGCCAGAGGAGCAGCAGCGCTTGTGCAAACCGGGAAGATGGCGGCCGGCGGCGGCGGAGGCAGCAGTAAGGCCTCCTCCTCGTCGGCCTCCTCGGCAGGGGCCCTGGAGTCCTCGTTGGATCGAAAGTTCCAGTCGGTCACCAACACTATGGAATCCATTCAAGGCCTGTCGTCTTGGTGTATAGAGAACAAGAAGCACCACGCCACCATCGTCTACCATTGGATGAAGTGGCTCCGGAGATGTGAGTGCCGGGGGGTTGCCTAAGGCTAAGAGGGAAGGGGAGACCGGGGAAATGGAAGGAAACCCTCGCGTGCCGCGCTTGGGCTTTTCCCATGGAGCCGCTGCATGGGGTTGGGCTGCTCACAGGTAAAGGTTTTTGACCTGAGTGTTCCCAAACCCAGACCCCATTCCCAGCCAGGGTGGTTTCCTTTTTTTTTTTTTTTTTTGGTTCCCCCCCCCTCCTCAATTGCAGAAGGCTTCGCATTTTCCGGCTATTTCCGCCGCTGCCTTGGCGTGACCTTGGGCCGTTGGCCCCCGATCTATGGATGGGGATGTGTGCATGCTATCATTTCCGAGCCCCGAGCGGTTTTGTGGACTTGGCTGGACCTTGACGGAAATTGTCGCGTCCGTTTGTTCCTTAGGAGAGGCCTTGTCGTGGGAATGATCGCTGGTTTTCCTGAAGATAGACGGGCTCGGGTTTTTAAGCAGTTCGTGAATCCACCTATGTCGCTGGAATAGGTTGGGTCACGCTGTTCATAACTGAGCTAAACTTGTGGTGGGGAACCAGCGGGGCCTCATCTGGGTGAATGGGAAGTAACGTGAGTTCCACTTGGAGCTGAAAGCGACTTACCTGGGAGGTTTCCCCGTGTTTGCTGCAGGGCTTCTGGATCCTGGTCGGAAACTGCCGTTGTCAGGATGGTCAATGCTTTAAAATCACTTGGGGGAAAAACAAATTTTTTTTTTTTTTTTTTTTTAAGGAATTGAGTTTGGTTTCATGAGCAATAAAAGAGGAAATCAGGGAAATGTGCTTTTTTGGGGGGGTGCTTTTTGGACATGTATCGATAGTAGTATTTCACCACTCCCTTGGTTATTACTTTTTTTTCCTTTCTCTTCATTGGGGAGTTTTTCCGCTTTGCTGCTTTTACTACAGTAAAGAGGTCTAGTATACTGTCAGGAAGCATGGATTGTTTGCAGGAGGTGTCACGTCTTTGAGGAGGAAGTGTGGAGAAGTCGCTGTTGCTTCCTGCTAAGGAGAGATGGTTTATCCTAAGTCCACCTGTGTTTGAATTTTAGATCTTTGTTGCTTCCTGTCCATAGCTTGTCACCCAGGGGTGCTCATCGTTCAGTTATTATTCCACTTCAGCCATTGCTTATGTGCTTTGATTTGGGTTTACCACATTGCTTATGTGTTTTGATTTGGGTTTACCTTGTAGGGAACAGATGGATGCAAAATCATAGTCCCAAGCTTAAAATAATTTGTATATGTGAAGTTATTGTTGGGAGAGATGTTTTGTGGCTCTTTAAATAATATATGCTGAAAGGGTTGTAGAACCAAGATGGGGATTACCTATATTTATCAATAGCAGATTGAAGTTACTTTCTTCTGAAGAGCTAAAATTAAAACATATAAAATTAAATATAAGTTAATCAAAGACCCTTTCATATAAAATAACTGCTATGTGCCTAGCCCTCATCATTAATAGTATATCTATCTCATTACACCTTAAGACACCCTAAGAAATAGACTTTTTAGTCATTGATTTACAGATGGGGACACTAGGCTCAGAAATGCTGCGTAAGTTGCTTAAGTTTACACAATAAAATGGTGGAGTTAGGATTTGACTACCATATCAGTTGACAGTGACCACATTTAACTTTGTAAAATGTTTTCAAGATTATTCTTTTTTATTTTATTTATTTTTATTTTTATTTTTTTAAATATATTTTATTGATTTTGTACAGAGAGGAAGGGAGAGAGATAGAGAGTTAGAAACATCGACAAGAGAGAGTCATCGATCAGCTGCCTCTTGCACACCCCCTACTGGGGATGTGCCCGCAACCAAGGTACATGCCCTTGACCAGAATCGAACCCGGGACCCTTCAGTCTCCAAGCCGACGCTCTATCCATTGAGCCAAACCGGTCCCGGCAAGATTATTCTTTTTTAAAAAAATATATATTTTATTGATTTTGTACAGAGAGGAAGGGAGAGAGAGAGAGAGTTAGAAACATCGACGAGAGAGAGTCATTGATCAGTTGCCTCTTGCATACCCCCCACTGGGGATATGCCTGCAACCAAGGTACATGCCCTTGACCGGAATCGAACCCCGGTCCCGTCAGTCCCCAAGCCAACGCTCTATCCATTGAGCTAAACCGGTCTCGGCCAAGATTATTCTTTAATGTACTTGGTATCCCAGTGGTAGCAGGCAGTGCTCATGCGAGCTGAGGACTTCTTTTTCTTAAACATATTTTTTGTGTTTTAAAACATTTTTACTAAATTATGAAAGTATTTAGCATTTTCTGTCTTTGGGCTCTGGTACTTTTAACTGTATGGTTACATCATTTGCAAGAATAAATTGGTTTTCATCCCTGCCTTGTGGGATTACAGATGACAATTAACAATATTTTTTCTAGGCAGCAATACTAGAACCAGAATTTTTCTGCCTTTGCTATTGTTGATACTGTGTCTGGGTTTATATCTTTTGTTAATATCTTAAGAAGGGAAAAAATGATTGCTCTAGGACAGGGTGGGGAATGTCTGGCCCATGGGCCCTAGAAGGCCCTGGAAATCATTTGGTCTGCCCTGCCAAGGCACTAGGGGTGATTTAATTAAATGTTTTACCAAATATAGCAGGTTAATTTTTAAGTTGATAATTTTTTGTGGCCCGCAAATGATGTTATAAATATCCAAATGGCCCTTGGCGGAAAAAAAGGTTCCCCACCCCTGCTCTAGGAAGACTACTTATTTCAAGTGCATAATACATAGTTTCTTTAGTGAAACGCTTTTGGCTCTGTAAAACCCTGATTTTTGTTCCCTTGGCCTAGTGGAATGTAACTTAACTTTCTAAAATAGTTAAGGGGAATTTGTAGTAGTTTTGTATTTACAGTTGACCTTTGAACAACTCACAGGTTAGGGACGCCAACCCCTGAGAAGTCAGAAATCTGTGTATAACTTTTGACTCTCCCAAAACTTAATTACTAAGAGTCTAGCCTTGACTGGAAGCCTTACTGATTACATAAACAGTCGATTAACACATATTTTGTGTGTTATATGTACTAGTGTTACATACTGTATTCTGACATGAAAAATGAGGTTCAGTACATAAGCTACTTTCACTGTGCCCTTCACCACTCTCCTGTCTCCCCTTAAACTCTAATAAGGAGAGGCAATAAATAAAATATTAAATATATTAGGAGGTGAGAATATTAGAAGTGCTGCAGAGAATATAAAATATAAAGCAAGGAATGGGGATACAGAGTGTTAAGGAAGTTGGTAAGGGAAGGCCTCACTGAGGAGAGATGTTTGAGTAAGAAGGTAAGGTATTAACTAATAAAGATACGAGGGGGTGAGAGAAAGAGTGTTCCAAGACAAAGAGGACAGAAAAATACAAAGATCTTGAGGTTGGAGTGTGCCTGCTAATCTTAAGGAACAGCAAGAACGCTTTTGTGGCTGGAAAGTAGTTAAAATGAGGATTAACAGATGAACTCAGAAATTATGGTGAGTGATGGTGAACGGAGAGGCAGATCACAAAGAGCTGTATAGACATTGTAAGGAGGTTTGGCTTTTATTCTGAGTGAAATAGGGGGCCATTTGAGCAGAGGAGTGATGTGAACTGATTTGTGTTTTTAAAAGGTCATTGGTTGCTGCGGAAACATGTATATCAATTAGGCTATCATAGTAATCCTGGGGTCAGATGGTTTAGACCAGGTTGTGGCCAGACGAATTGATATGCAGTAATTAAATTCTACATCTCTTCTTTATTTAATATTTTTTATTAATTTCAGAGAGGAAGGGAGAAGGGGAGAGAGAGAGAAACATCAATGATGAGAGAGAATCATTGATCGGCTGCCTCCTGCACTGCACACCCCACACTGAGCATCAAGCCCACAAGCCTGTAACGCAGGGAGTATGTCCGGGAATGGAACAGTGACTCCTGGTTCATAGGTAGATGGTCCACCATCCATCACCAGGCCACACCAGCCGCGCTAATTCTAGATCTCTTTTGACGGTAGATCGAACTGGATTTCTAGATGGATTAAATATAGTAAGAGAGGAGAGTCATAAAAAATGACTTTTTTTTGCCTGAGGTGTGAAACAGTCACCACAGGACAGGGTGTTCGTGTGTCTTTAGAGCCACCAGGCTGGAAGAGATCTCCATCAAGCGCCACTTAATGGGGCTGCATTCTGAAAAATGCACTGTTAGGTAATTTTATCATTGCTCAGACATTGAGTTCATTTACACACACCAAGATGGTATATATCGCCTACTACACACCTGGACTACATGATAGAGTCCATTGCTCCTAGGTTACAAACCCATACAGTATGGGTACTGTGCTGAATACTGTACGCAACTGTAACAGGTATTTGTGTATCTAAACATAGAAAAGGTACTAAAATATGGTATAAAATGGTCCACCTATATAGCGCGCTTAGTATGAATGGAACTTGTAGGACTGGAAGTTGAGTGAATGCGTACACTACTGTACAGTAAGGCTACATTGAACACTGTACTCTTAGGCTACACTAAATCTATAAAACAACACAAGATTAAATCAAGCACAAGAGAATGATGCAATCAAGAGAGTGGCAAACACCAGATCTGTGAGTCTACTGCTGGCACAACCAGGCCTAATGTTTTACAGCAAACCTTTTTTTTAATAAGTAGAAAGAGTGTACTCTAATAATAAAAGTGTAGTATACATACACCAGTAACAAGGTTGTTTCTTACCATTTTTAAGTAATATGTACTATACATAATTAAATGTGCTATACTTTTATACAACTGCCAGCAATGCAAGAGATTTGTTTATACCAGCATCACCACAAAACAGGAATGAGGAATAGTAGCACTATGTTGTGATGGATACATCTCTAGGCGATGGGAAATTTTCAGCTCTTTTATAATCTTGTGGGGCCACATCTATGTGGCAGGTTGCTGTTGACTGAAATGTTGTTATGTGACCAGGACTGCACTAGGGATTAAGTGTGGATAGAGAAGTAGGTGTAATAAGAAAGAATA